CACTAATATATCAAGTTTAGTAACTAAGATGTATTTTAGTCTTAAAACAAAATGAAATTTCGAGCAGACTAAAGATACAACCTAACTTTGTTGAAATATTGGTTCAAAAGAAAGAAATGGCACCAAGCAAATTAAAATGGCTGAGAAAACCACTAGGGGGACATTCTGAGTTTGGAATTGGTTATTCATGTCATATATATAGAAGGAAGTATATATAAGGGAGCATTTCCAAAAATGGAAAGAGGTGGGTGGAGTGCCACTGCGTTTGATTTATTATATGAGCAATTACTTGGCAAATTGAAAAAAATAAGAGGCTCATATTTTATATTCTAGCTTGTCAATATCGGTAATTTGAGTTTCTAAATTGTACGAAACTATAGACTTAGTATTTTGACATCACAAACATTTAATTTGAACCAGTGCTACATTCAACATACCATTGTATTTTTTTAATATTTGAATTATAATCTATATTTTGATGCCAAACTTATTGACATAAATTCCTAAAATAGTAGTTCAATAAAATTTTGAATGCGAGTCAACAAACGAGATGACATGGCCTTTCACACATGATCCGTCTTGAAAGGGTTAAGAGATTCAGCTACTGCTGTTTATAAATTCCTAATCTAACAAGCATGCCTTAATATGAAACTGTTAAATATGTAAGTAATTCATAGTTTTTTGTAACTTTCATTAAAAAAAAATTGTTGTAAAGTTACCTCTTGAAAATCAGTTCATGGAAGTTGATAGAAACAAAATTTAAATTTTGAGAAATGATACATATGGTTTAGAAATCATATAGTGTAATAACGTATCAACTGATAATCATAAAACCTCATTTATAGAACATACACACAAATTGAAAGTAAAATAAAGAGAGAAAAGAAGAACATAGAAACTAGTTTATACCTGAAAATTATCACTCTTGAGAAATTACTCGTGTTGTATGCCAAAATTACTCTTCAGGTTTTTGATTTGAAATTTTCAACTTTCACTAAACTTGTTATCAACTTTTCTTACTAGCTCTTGTGGGTTGTGGGATCCCTTGAATTGGTTTTCTGCTGTACGTCAAGATGAGCAGGAACTTGTAGAAGAGACAAAAACGAAACGTGAAAGATCCTATGAAATGGAGAAAGAAGCTGGTGTAGTTCACAAACGAAGGACTTCAGACCCAAAGGAACGTATTAAAGAAGAGAGAGACACCATTGTGCTGAGTCCACAGAGAAGAAGTTTTGGAACAGGTTGTCATATACCTCAGCAGGTTTCAAAACAACCTGGAAGTTCTTATGAATCAAAGGAATCAGAAAGGTGAAAGAAGGCTCTTGTAGTTTGAGTGCTTTATTCTGTTATAAATAAATTCAGAGTTAGAATCCATCTTAAAAACAGTGATATTCAGTTTTATAAAATTTTAAGATTTGATACACTTAAATATATACATGTTAAATAATTGTTTGTGTCTCTGACTGTGGTTTCTTGACATGCATTAATATTCATATGAAAAAAATTTTCTTTAAATATAACTACAGTTGTTTGTGAGGAGACATGAGTAGTGGTGAGAGCACATCATCATGTTTTCTAGACTTTCATCCAAAATTTTTTTAAACTACTACTTTATGAATTTCTATCCATAAATTTGGAATCAAATTATAGTTTGTAAGTCAAATTTTAGTTTTGTACATTATTTAATTTCTTAGTTCAAAAGTAAATATACACCTGGAAAAAGTTAAGCACCTCCGTGTTTTTTCAAGTGATTCAGATTCGACGTTCTTGTGACTGATTTTAAATTACCATTCAATCTAAATGTGTTTATCAAATGAAATTATGCATTATTGGGCACAAGAAAACAAGATTATCACCGTAAAATAACAATTTTAATTACTACATATCATGATATCAAAATA